AGGGGGCGCGTGCGAGCGGGGAGGTCCGAGGACCGAAGAATGAAGAGGAGGGTTGAGGAGAACGAAAAAGTGGGAGGATCGAGGATCGGAGGCTGAGGGAGGATGAGGAAAAGGAGGAACAGGAGGAGGAGGAGGAGGACGAGGAAGAGGAGGAGGAGGAGGAGGAGGAGGATCGAGGAGGTGGAGGAGGACGACGTCAAGGGGTCGAGGATCCAGGAGGTGGGGTCGATCGAGTTTTCGGGCCGTTCGGAGCTACAATGCCTTGGCTTGAGCATCATAGCTGTTGAAAATTTAGTGCGGGCTGGCTGTGGTCACGTGTCGTTCGATAGAGGGTCGCGGACGCCACTTGTCGCTCTGGCCTTATTTGCCCCCCCCCCCCTCCCCGCGCAGGGGTATGTCGGCAGGGTTGCGCCCGCTATTCACGGTTGCCCTCTAGCCTGTTTCCCTTTCCTTTTGTGTTGAGCCAGGCCTTGCCTCCCCTCTGCCACGGTCTTTCGGGATGTGGGGCTGTAGGGGGATGGTGCCTCACATCGCACGATGGAAAGGTCGTGATATTTGGGACCTGGAGGATCGGTGGCGCATCCGGTTCTGGAGGTGGGGCGGCCTGCCTGTCTGCAGGACGTCGCCGAGCCTCTCGCCCCGTGAGAGCACTTCAGGCACACCAGCAAGGAAGGAGGGGCGGGGGGGGCGTGGAGAGAGATCTAGCTCCGACGCCGTGCTCCTGGGCAGACTTGCTGCTCGTTGCTTCGCTCACTGTCCCACTCACTGATTCACCAAGCTGCCCAGGTCTCTTTCGATCGCCCCCTTCGGTGCCGCTCCTACGCGTCGCACAGTTCGCTCGGCCATCAGCTGGTTGATTGGGACGGTGTAGAGCTGGTGGTGGAACTGGAACTGGAACCTGCACTTCTCGTTGTCGTTGCCCTGGGCCATACCCTTGTCCTTGTTGCGCCTGAGACGGAACTTTTGCACCCGAGTCCGCTTCTCCGTCTGGCGTTGGCGCGATGACCACCTGGTAATGCTGTGCCAGGTGCTCTATGTGTGCTCTTCCTGGGAGCCTTCGTCCCAGGTAGGCGCACACCTCCGCCAACACCATCACGTGTGGGCTGCCGCGCGACGACGTGCCCACATCCCCTCCGTCCTGGGCTCGCTGGTGGGGTGCCTGCGCCTCCTCGTGGTATGCTCTGCCTGCCTCGAGTCCTGGCGAACCTGTGCCTGCCGATGTATTGATGTGCCAAATCTGCAGCATTTCCGCCGCCAGCTCCGCTTGTTCTCTCACAGGTGTGAACGTTAGCTCCGCCTTCAAATCGAGCATCTGGTTATTGACTGCCGCTCTTCCTCTGCCAGCGCCCTCGCCTGCTACTGGTCGGTCTCTCTGCCGGCTGCGGCTGCCCCTCGTCGCTGTCGTGCACCTCCCGTTGCCGCTGCCGCCTGCTCCTTCACCTCCTCCTTGCGCCCACGCTGGGCGCTGCTCGAATATCGACATCCTCTGGCTAATGTCCATGTTCACCGTGGTCTATAATCTCCCTGTGAGTGAGTATCTGTCTCTGTAAATGTGTACGAGAGTCGTCGACAAACCCTCCTGTGTCAAAGCAGCCTCTGTTACGTGCAAGTATCTTGATTGTGTGTTTGTCTTTGCTGCAGTATCCTCTGAGCATACATATTCCTCGATGCTTCCATGCCGTCCCTTTGCTTGGGAGTACGAAGGGGCAGTTGATGCACGTCTTGTTTGTCGCTAGGAAGTCAGATTATGAGCATAGTGTGGCTTTGTGATGTGGCTGTGCAGTGCCTCCGTACTTGCAGACAGTATCCTGCATTTCCCTTCCCATTCCTTGAGCTCACATTTCCACGGTCGACCGTCCTGCAGAGGCATGTCTTCTTATTGTTCGTCGTTTTCGTGTTGTCCGGAATGGGGCATTAAACTCGTTGCTCCAATTGTCTTAATTTTTCGGGCGTGTAGCTGACGAAGTTGTCCTCGCGCATCTAGTGTGAATGGTTACCGATGAAAATATCTCCGTCTCCGAGCACCTCCTGATAGCTCTCTGCTACTGAGTTTGCATGCATGCAGTCCTCGACAAAACGCGTCCCTCAGGGATTCGGATCGCGCTGCAGTTCGTCTGGCATGATCGACGTTTTTTGTTGTTGCTTGAACTCGCGATGATGAGGTGTTTGTGGCTCGCGGGGGGTCGCGTCGTAGGCTCCTCGTTGCGCATCCCAGTCGTCAGATTTGTGTTTGCTCACATTTCCCAGTGCCTAAACAATTCCAGCGTGCTTTCACTACGTACCTCTCTGTTCCAACGATCTGTCGTCGCTGATCCTCTCATCACTCTCCGCAGGAGGCCCCCAACGCACTCTGCAGGTGTTGGATCTTGTAGGGGATTGGGATGTTGCATTCTATACATGCTAGTCTGAGCTTTATAACCCTGCATCTGAGTACCGGTCGTTTCCATAGATATGATGTTGCAGATTTGCGCACAAGTTCCAACATTCGGAATCTGCCTTCCTCGTAGCCGCCTCTCTTTTGGAGAGCTCGTCCCCGTAGCTGCTGGAACTACGTATCCTTGCATCTCGCATTTGGAGCTCCTCTTGAGGACCTTGCGAGCCTGCGCCGTGCCTGCCCCCTGGACGCAGATGGCATGGACTCCTGGATATCTTGATTTCGGGCGTAGCCCGAATTCCTGTCTCGCGAGGTAATCTTACTGGACTATGCTGGACTGGGCTGGACTGAAGCTAACTGCGCTGAACTGAACTGAACTGAACTGAACTGACTGGTTGCACTCGTTACGCGACGGTTTTGATTCTCGGCGGCAGGGGCGCAATTTATGGCGCAAGCAATCGGAGACGGTTTGATTCTCGGCCGCCGAGGGCGCAACCTATGGCGCAACCGATAGGAGACGGTTTTATTCTCTGCCGCCGAGGGCGCAACCTATGGTGCAACCGATGGGAGACGGTTTTATTCCCCACATGTTCAGTGGGGTTCTGGTTTTCTTCCCCGCGTCTCCTCCCCCCCCCCCACACACACACACACACACACACACACACACACACACCTCCCGATTCCCCTCGTTCTCTTCCTCTCTTCCTCTTTCTCGCCTCACCCGCACGCAACACATGCACAGCACGTCCATGAGGCACGCGTTCTACATACAGCCGCACGCACGCGTGGCAGGCATGGCAGGCGCACGGCGCACTGCACCATATACCCAAGACGTATGCGCACGGTCGCCCAGGGCATCGCAGGCGTGGCATAACAGGGGGTGTTCTTGGGGTGGGGACGCTGTGCGTTGAAGGCTCCCAGGGCGTGGCAGGCGCGGCATTTCCTCGACGCCACAGGGGGTGCGCTGGGGGTGAGGCGCTATGCGTTGCATGCTCCCGCTATGCGTTGCATGCTCCCAGGGCGCGGCAGGCGTGGCATTTTCTCGACGCCACAGGGGGTGCGCTGGCGGCAGCCTGCATCATTCTCGCAAGTTTCACGTCAGCTTTCATCACGCCAGACATATTAAAAGTATGTGGGGTTCATCGGTAGCGTAATTATTGGCGGCCGAGGGCGCAATCTATAGCGCATCCGATAGCGCCGGTCGAGGGCGCATCCGATGGCGCAACCGATAGGAGACGGTTTCATTCTCGGCCGCCGAGGGCGCAACCTATGGTGCAACCAATAGGAGACGGTTTTATTCTCGGCGGCCGAGGGCGCAACCTATGGCGCAACTGGTAAGGGACGGTTTTATTATTGGCGGCCGAGGGCGCAACCTATAGCGCAACCATTAGGAGACGGTGCGATTCTCGGCGGCCGAGGGCGCAAATTATGGCGTAACCATTGGGAGACGGTTTTATTATCGGCCGCTGAGGGCGCAACCTATGGCGCAACCAATAGGAGACGGTTCAGGGCGCAAATTATGGCGCAACCAATAGGAGACGTTTTTACTCGCGGGCGCAGAGGGCGCAACTTTTGGCGCAACCGATCGGAGACGTTTTTTATTCTCGGCACCAGAGGGCTTAACTATGGCGCAACCCGTAGGAGACGGTTTTACTCTTGGCGGCCGAGGGCGCAACCTATGGCGCAACCGCTAGGAGACGGTGTTATTCTCGACGGCTGAGGGCGCAACCTATGGCGCAACCGATAGGAGACGGTTTTGTTCTCGGCGGCCGAGGGCGCAACTTATGCGTGCCCCTGGTACGACCTGGACGCCGTCAACGCACTCGCCGTGCTGGGGGCCCGCGAGTAGTACGAGGACGAAGCGTGGGGTCCCAAATGCGTGCGGGGTTACGCCCGAGTTCTGCTCGCCGTTTGGGCTGGCGGTGAGGCCCAAGCGGCGAGCTGTCTTCTGATTTTGACGCATGCCCAATTTTACCAATCTGCAGTTCAGGCTCTCGTCAGCATGCTTAGCCGCCGAGAATTGCCGTGACATCCGCGCGGTAATCTCCAAAGATGAACTTTCTGAAGTCGTCGTCCGCGTACCTGGTGAGGCCAATATAGACTGGCTCTCCGAACAACTCGCACTTGCCGTACAGTAGTACGTCCTCTGGGATTGTGTCGTTACAATATTGTATCCATGTTTGAACGCACGATTCAAAGCTCGCGACGAAGTTGCGGACCATGTGAGGGTATCCGATCAGTCCTCGGCAATGTTGTTTGATTCCACATCCGATCTCGTCGTCCTTGCAGTGTTCTGCGGCACCTGCTTGGACAACTGTCCCACGTATTCTCAGGCATTACCGAGGAGGAGGAGGAGGAGGAGGAGGAGGAGGAGGAGGATGGTCGAGGAGAAGGAGGAGAAGGATCGAGGATCGAGGTGGAGGAGGATCGCGGGCCGAGGAGGAGGAGGAAGCACAGAGGATTAAGGACCGAGGAGGAGGGGGAGGAGGGAGGAGGCGGAGGCGGAGGACCGAGGAGGACCGAGGAGGAAGCGGAGGAGGATGAGGAGGAGGAGGAGGAGGAGGAGGACCGAGGAGGCGGCCAGGGCAGTCGCCCCTACTCCTTTCTCTCTCCTGCCGCCCCCGCCAGCGCGTGCAGCCAGCCCCCGCCCCTCCGCACAAGCCGGCGGCGCGTGGCACTTCCCCCCCGGCGCCCGGCGCGGCCCGATTGGGTGGAGCGGCACCGCCGGCGACGGGGCCCCGGCGTCGCGGCGAGGGCTCTCTTCTGGACGCCCGAAATCAGAGCCCCGAATCATCAGGGGTAACTCGGGTCAGGGCTAACTCGGGTTTGCTCTTCGGGAATCCGAACCCGACTTATCCCGGACCCGAGTTACCCCGGATATCTCGGGCGTCCAGAGCCCCGAATCATCAGGGGTAACTCGGGTCAGGGTTAATTCGGGTTTGTTTTTCGGGAACCCAATCCCGAGTTACCCCGGACCCGAGTTACCCCGGATAACTCGGGCGTCCAACGAAATGGGTACGGAAAGAATGGGTACAATGCCCAACAGCAGTTCCTGTGCATTTTGAACAGGGCTCGCTGTCCGCGCCGCCGCGGCCCGTGTCCATTCGAGACAGAGGGCCGCCCGCCCAACAGCGGCCGCCGTCGGTTTGGGACGACATGTGTTGTTGGGCATTGTGCCCATTCTTTCCGTACCCATTTCGGGCGTCCAAATCTCTGTGGCGGGAGGCGCCGTGCAGGCATTGGGGCTGCGGGTTTTCCGACGCTTCCCTCGTCCGAGGCGGGAATGTATACATGATTTATGATGGCCCAACCTACTTCAGCCTTGGTCACCAGAAATAATTTCGAGCACCAGGAAAGTACCGAGACTTGAGGGTTTTCGCGTGTCAGGCCATGGGAGGCAATGCTCGTTCGACACTGTTTCGACACTTTTCTGGGTGCTCTAAATTATCAAGTACGATTGGAGCAACGTAATACATGACCACCGCCTGGAAGATGAAATTTTGGAGAGCTCCGCAGACGGTTGATATTTATATTCTGGCCCAGAGGGCCCAAATAGATCCCTAACCACCGCCCGTTGGGGCACCAGGACGTTGGCTCCCGGGCGGTAGATATGGACAGATCTCCGCCTCGCGCCTCGGCTCTTGCAGGCGTTGTGCCTCGGGGTTCCTGGATCGCCTCGAGTCGCAGGCCTGGAGGTTGACACCAACACCAACACCAATATCGGCGGTGTGCTTCCACCGAGGGATGGCGACTCGTACCTCGGTGATGGTGGTAATATTTGGGCTTCCTAGGTGGCCGAAATATTACCACCAACACCGAAATCCAGGATCGTCTTCCCCCTGTGGAGGCTCCCCCCTTGTGTTGGTGTCGGTCCCCATTTCCAGGCCTCCAGTCGAGTTGTGTGACTCGAGTCTCCGGTCCTCGGTCCCTTCGCGAGCGTCGGCGCGATGTGCTCGGCGGCCGTCGTCTCGCGGCGGCCTCTCCGCTCGGGGGTGGCCCGGGGCCACGGGGCCCGCGCCGGGGGTGGCTCGTTCGGTTAGCCGGTGTGGCCCGAAGGCTCGACGGGCCAGCCTCCCTATCGGGGGCGGCAAAGAGAGGGGTAATGACTAGGGGGGGCGGATATCATGGCGTGGGCCATGATAGTTCTCCAGATTTCATGGCGCCTCTTCTCATTTCATCACGTCCCTGGCCCCCCCGCTGGGCCGCGCACATGCCGCCGGTCATGATTTGCACCCCCCCTCTTGGACACCCCCCTCTTGGCCGCTCCCGACCCTAGCGTTTTTCCTCGATCTCGGCCCTCGGGGTCAGTTTTCGAGCCCGAGGCCCTTCAAGCATGGATCCGGGGCGAGAGGCAAAACCCCCGGGAAAGGGTCTGGACGTGGGCCGCGCATGGAAAGAATCGTAGTCTCGAACGTCTGGAGGGGTATAGGGGTAGGACCAGTGTCGACGATGGGGCGGATAGGCTCTCAGGGGGGAACGCATCAGCCCCCACACGCCCGTTCGTCCCCGACAGGGACGTGACAGCCCCGCCCAGGACCGTGCGTTTTTCGCTATCGGCAGATCGGACATGCATCGCCGCATCGCCGGTCGATGTCTACCCTCCTGAGCCAGGTCCTCAGCATCTTCACGCTGGCCCCTATCCTCCAGGATGGGACCACAACTTACTGACGACCACCCCCTCCAGGAGGAAACAGGGCCAACCCAGGGTCCCCTCCAGGGCCCCCCCTAGGGACACTCCAGGGCGCCCCTCAGGGACCCGTCCCCAGGGCATCCCTCACCACCACCACCACCACCACCACCACCACCAGCACCACCACCACCACCACCCCCACCACCTCCTCCTCAAGAGCGCCTACGACGGGCATATTAAACACCATACCCACGCATCAACCGTTACACCAGTACACATTACACATTACCCATGACACCTATACACACCCCTTTGTGTTCGATGCGGCTTCACAGGAAAGGCACCTTCGAAGCGGCTGGTCACGCGTTTGAACGCCATAGCAACCCTCGACGTCGGTCAGAGCTGTCAGTGGTCTGTGAGTCGTCTGTCAGTGGTCGTTCAGTGGGCTGTCAGTGGGCTGTCATTGATCTGTCAGTTGTTTGTCTATGCTCTGTCAGCGATCTGCCAGTGTCCTGTCACTGGTCTGTCAGGGTTCTGTCAGTGGTCAGTCGGTGGTCTGTCAGTGGTCTGGCAGTGGTCTGTCAGTGACGGGGATCGAATTACATGGTGGTTCCATCCATGCCTCGTATTTTGACCCCCTTCTGACAGGCACTGGCAGGCCACTGACAGACCACTGGCGACTGGCAGACCACTGGCGAATTACGGACAGACCATTGACAGATCACGGACAGACCATTGACAGACCATTCACAGGCAATTGACAGACGATTTACATATCACTGATTAACATCTGACAGACCACTGACAGGGAACTGACAGCCCACCGACAGGCCACTGACCGACCACCGTCAGACCGCTGAGAGACCACTGACGGACCGCTGACAGACCACTGACAGTCCACTGACAGATCTCTTCCAGCTCTCTGACAGCCCACTGACAGAACACTGACAGACCACTGAGAGCCCGCTGACGGGCCACGGACAGCCACTGACAGCCAGGCCACTGACAGGCCACTGACAGCCCCGCACAGCGGCCCGCGAGGCTGCAGCGGGGAGGCGAGGGGGAGGCGAGGGGGCTCGTCGGAAACCCTCGGAGGGGCCCGAGTCGACCCCCGCGATGGGCTTACGAACATGCTGCTTCCTACGCTCTGGTTCCACTCCAACCGATCCCCATCCCCAACTCCCACCCCCACCAGCACCCCAGTTGGGGGGACACCCTTCGAAACCCGATGGGAACGGCCCGTATTCCCATCTGGGGGGTACATCGGACAGGGGGGCCCAGGCCACGCCGGTCGGGATAGGGTTAAGTCGGGCGTGTCCCTCTAGAGGAGGAATGTTTACAGTAAAGAATAGTGTTGGAACGATTGTTGTTTTTGTTTTTTTTTAGTATGTTCGTATATTTTTGTTTTTCGTCCAGACTCAGCCTGTAGGAGGGCACGCCCGACCTAATGATAGTTCCCCCCGGGTAGATCGTTCCCGAGCGCTCCAAGGCGGTCCGGAGCGCCCTGGCCGCTGCGCCCGATGCGTCCTCCAGGCCCGCCGAGCCTGTTCTGTGGGGGGGAGGAGAAGCGTCAGTCGTTTGTTCAAAGATGGGGTCCTGAGGGACGGGGGCCTACGGATAATGAAGCGTTCCAAGGGTTGATTGACGTTCTTTGAGGTACTTTGTCCTTAGGGTCCCATTCCTCAGAACCCCTTGTTTTTACCACCGAGTCAGAGGCGGAGCAGGGTGAGGAGGGGGGGGGGAGGAGGAGAAAGGGGGGAGTAGGAATTCGGGGAGTTTCCATGGTATGGTAGGCAGGTCACGAGGGGAAGGAATCCGGATGGCTGTTCGTTCGCTCCTTGGCACCACGCGCCATGCAGAATTGGGCCTAGGGAAAGCCCAGAAGTCCAAGAAGTTGTTTTACTGAGGGCCCTTCTTTCCTCATGCAAGAGGACAGCGAATGAGAGGGAGATGGGAGAACAGAGCTCGCGGAGGGGGATGGGGAAAAGGATGGCGTGGAGGCAGATGCCGCCTTCCTGTTATTCTTAACTTGGGCTTGCCCCTCTACAGGAGGAATATTCAAAAATAGTCCAAGAATGGTCAGGGGACGATGTGTGAGTACTTTGGGGTGTCTTTTTTGGGGGGGATATGTTTGAATATCGTTCATTTGTCATACAAAATTCTCTGTAGGGGCACGCCCGACTTATTATTTGACCCTTTCCCCTACTCGTGAACATCCACAGCAGATTTCCGGCATCCAGCGTCTGATGTTCACGTTGAGGAGCATCCGCGTATTTTGCAGAGAGTTCACGCTGGGTTTGCCAAGTGGACGACTGATAATGTCTCGCGGTGGAAGGCCAACCAGGAACAGGCGTTTCATATGTATGCAATGCCCCTTGCTGCATACACCCCGTGCTCCCAGGTCAAGGCTCAGAATTGCATTAAGAAACTGTTCCTCAACCTCAACTTCAAGAGCACTCTTCAGGCTTCGGCTTTACGATCGAAGATGCCAGCTGAGGGCCCTCTCTCGCCCCGAGCCCTGGAGGCGAACCAGACCTCGAGTTCCGCGTCCGACCTGACGGCCCCCAGACCGTTATTACACTCCTTGACTACCTCGGGGATTTCGTTGGACCTGAGAGAGTCCGTCCGACTGGTCTCGGGAGTGGAATATCTCTCCTGAAGGGCGGCCCCATCCTGGCACATATCTTGACAAATGCGATTGTGGATGACGGCCCGTGCGCAGGCAGTGCCCGTGGCCCCATTGATGTTCAGCGCCTGGAAGAGGTAAGTGGAACGCAGCATGCGCCGTGCTTGCAGGCACCGCTCGATGATATTCGTCCCTTGGGACCGGTACAGCAGCAGCGCGGGTTAGACAGGGCTCGACGGGAGTCGCACAGGTTTTTCGGCTTCGAGATCTGAACTGAGCCCCGGTATTCATCCTATTGAACATCGTCGCACTTATCTCCTCTCCTGGGTGGGTCGCTGGTGGAACAGTTCCCCTCAGCCCGCGCACGCCACCGCTCTCTGCGCGTGGAACTCCCGCGCCCACATTGCCTCACGGGGCAAGCTGGCGTCTTCGAGTGGCTACAGGCCTCTCCGACCGAACCCCCGTTGCGCTTGCCATTGCCGGGGCCGAGCGGCCCGCCGTGGATCCCAGGGCGGGTTGACGAGAGCTACGCTGGTCGGAAGA